CGTAGCTGTAAAGCCTCCAAACATGAATTAACAAACATTTCATTTGATATTTATTCTAATGGCCGTTATCATCAAATAACTGACCAAGAATTTGAAATTATAAAAGCACAACTGACCAATTCAGCACGATTACAGGCTTGTTCACAATATGGATTACGACCATTACCGGGCCCTCTTGATTCTATTCTTCATGATCGTCATCTATACACTCCTCAAGATGCATATCACATTATTGCAGGAAAAGCAGCACGACTTCTTGACTGTACTTGTCTTATCTTAACAGCACAAGGAGAAAGCAATTTAGTTAATTCTTGGAAATATTTTGAAGTCCCAGCCAGATGGGCACGTTTACCAAATTTAATCTCACATAGACATTCATTTATGATGTCAGATATTTTACGTATTTTAATGATATTTCCTTTTATACTAAAACGTTTTTTAACAATTGGAGATATTAAATCTACTTTTGTAAATGAAACAAAAGCTCGATTAAATCTTTCTCGGCAGAATGATGTCATAGATTATTTAATTCGGGTCTGGAGTCTCTCTGCAAAAGTCAGTAAAAATATTTTTTCATTATCCATTGACAGGACAGACGGGTATTCTCGACTTCAGAAATTATTGGATAAAGAACTTAATTTATTAATTAAGGTGATTTTATTTATTACTGTATTAATTTTTTTGTTAATAAATTTATCTCATACGTATAATTTATCTATATATGTATAAACTTAAAAAATGCAATTTGTTTAAACAAGTTATTTCCTGATAGCTTTCAAAATCTTCCGAATCTTCATGCAAATCGGCATCTAGTGGATCATGCACGCCAATATGCAACATGTACTAACACAGCAGTTGGCATAAAAGAAATGATACATAGAATCTTTAAGTCAATCGTACCACATACAAACAAGCGCAATCTTGAACTTACGTTACTTCGGCAAGTTAATACTCTGCAAACACTGAGATACTTGGCAGACGGAGGAATAGATGACCGCATAAGTAATATGCCACCACAATTAATATTCAAAGAATTAATTGTCGAACCACGTTTACGTCATTTATTATCAGGCTGGTGCATTGATGATAACTTTTCAATGCACTTATCACATGAGTATGAACAAGGTACGTACGTATGTACATACGTGCATACAGTAATATGGTACACTATTTTCTATTTATATTTTTTTTCAAACTATTAAATGTATTATGTAAATTATATAGATAATATTACCGATATTAGTGGCTTTTCACATTTCAATTGTTCTGAAATAAAACTTGGTTCGAGATGGAATAAACATAAAATAGAAATTGCTGGTTTCGTTTCCACCGACCTTGAAACTAATGGACTTCTGAAAAATATGATGCATGCATATTCCTCATATTTCTCTATAGAACAATCGTTATTAAAAACAAAGATCAAATTTTATCAGAATGTTTCGTATTCTATCATTGAGTCTAATGGCGATTATCAATATGTAAAATTTCATGTTGGTGATGTTGTTGAAGCCACTTTGTTTGACGATAGACAGCCCGGATTTGGAATGGTCAAAGCAATAATTGGGCATACATGGAACGATAATCAAGTTTATGTATTTATTTATTTAGAGTGGTTGGAATACCTTAAAAGATTTGACGATTTATTGGGTTGTCCTCTTTATCGTCTCCAACATACTGGCAATAACTCCTGGGATCGAATTCACCCGATTTCCATTGTATCAAGATCACCGGATACTTTATTTGTCCATAATTGTAAATCTAGATGCTCCCCACAACAGCATGACTTTGCAAATCACGAATATATTCGAAATGACTTTTTTTTTACAGCTATCTAAAGAATTCCGGCTTCATTTGTAAAATTTACCTTAGCTGAAATATATAATATAATGGGTAAGTTTGTATTAAAATAAATATATAATTAATTTTAGCAAACTTCTTTATAACAATCACTAGCCTAATTGTTTTCATATATAAAATTTTATACTCGAGAAGAAAATTTACAACATTTACAAAATGGTGCACTGATGGAATAAAATTTGTATGTTTGAGCAATAATGATGAACAAATAATGCTATATTTTATTAGTAATGCAGTGCATATAGGTAAACCTCAATATTGAACCTTGAATATAATAAACTTACGTTTGATATAGTGATGGAATTAACTAATTCAAACTAAATTAGCACATATTAATAATAATTTCCTTACTCGCGTAATTTATTGTCTGAAGTCTAAATCTGAACTTTTTAAAGATATAACGAATCACTTAATATATTGTCATCTTTCCGACTTATGGGTTCATATGAGTTCCTGGATCTTGCGTTTATGTTTAAGATAGATTTTTTAATAAATTCAAAGAAACTGCTCTGAAATTAAAATTGTTGATTCTTACAAAGGTACTTGTTAAGGTTCTTGCAAGTAGTATTATTTAATTATTTATGTGAGACCAATTAATTCACTATTTATTTTGAACTGTGTTTCATACTGAAATTGGAAAGAAGAAATATGCTACTTTATTGATAGGTAGTGAAAGGTATGGCGACTAAGGTTTTTTTTAACGAACCGAGAAATTTCAATAACATGGTGAAGTCTTATTTTATATACGTATTTATTTGTTTATCATTGTATAAATAAATTATAATAATGTATAGAATTTTAATTTAAGAACGATAAATGAAATATTTAGAATATTTGGAAAATTTTAAACTATCGAGGAAGCTACCAAAAAGGCAGATATCATTTATCGGCAATTTCGGGGCGGGTAAATATTTATATGATAAACGGCCTACTGAAAGTCACAAGAACCTGAGATTGGTTGAGAACGTGAAAAATATGTGTTAGACCTATATAGTAAATTAAGACCGTTCAGATTAATCTTGAAATTCAAATACGATGCATGAAGTATTAACACTGAGTTTAATTACTTTTAAAGTCTAAATACTGTATTGTACGTATTAATTTATAAATAATGTGTTTTCTCAAATATTAATACGTAGATGAAAGTAATCAAAGGTCGTGATAAGGTATTCAAATTTTAATTGAATAATTTAAATTCTGGCGGCATTTTTAAATATACTTTTTTTAATCAAATTACTATAGGTTAATATATTCTACAAAACTATCTTCGAGACAACTAGTTCAGCATTGAGAATGCGAATATATTAGAATAAATATGTATTTATTTATGGATTATAATACTAGAATGTTAAGTTTTCAAAAAGATGAAAGTGCCAAAACAGATGAGGCAGGTTTTTTCTTGTCGTAGTAATTGTTTAATTTGTATTACATTATATAACATTATTACCATTTACATTACTGTCTAGAGTATTAACCCGAAAAAAAATTCTAAACCGACCATACAGTAAATTGTGAAGCCATCTACTACTGCTGCACTATCGAAAAAATATATTAAAACTAAGGAAGAAGAATGCTGAAATACAAATTCTCGAATAAAGAAGTTGAATGAAGCAAAATTTGCAGAACTTATTCTGAAAGAGCAGACTGTTGAATTGAGTGATAAAAATTGGAAACTTCGTTTAGCAGGTAATACATATTTGCCAGCGTTACAGTCAAATGATTTTCGATATAAACGAAAAAAATTTCAATTTCGTTTACTTTGAGGTTAGGGCGATGTCTTGGATTTTAGTAATGTTTTATATGTATGCAAAATTTATCAAGAAATTTTTTTTGTTAGTGCATGAAAGGCGATTTCTTGTGCAAATTTTCGAGAAACGAGTGATTTTTTCAAAATGAACGTTTTTTTGAATTTTTTGCTTGTGTTACGTTATGCTAAATTGTGACTTATTATTTGCTGATCGTGTCAGAAGATCATGTAACTGCACCCTCGATTGGTGGTAACGCTGGACTTTTCAGGTAATACATTGGTCATAATGTGATTATCATTTTATTTTATTGTCTTGCAATTATAATATATTAGCTTAACATGGTTTCATAGCTTCCATTATAAAATTTGGGATTGCTAGAGTTCAAGTGCGAAAACTAATTGATTTTATCAAGTTCACATATTCGTATCAATGCCATTACTGTTCTGGGAGCCTTGAGGATTTATGTTGAGCCAAGTAAATGTGGGTTATCGCAGTCTTAAATTTTAAATGAGAAATTTATTAACTAATCGGAACCTTCACAGTAGGAAACAATATGTTAGAAAAGTCGATATCAGTGCACTTTTATCAGTAAAATAATAGCTGGTAGTATAATATTTAAAAGAATTATGTTTTATACTTAATGAATCATTGATTACTTTGCAAAATGTTATATTTTAGGAAGCTAATGATAATATATAGAAAACACGAAAAGATGCTCTTGAACAAGTTCCTGTTACGGTAGAGGCTAACAAAAGAATTAAACCAAACTTGGGTATTTATTTGTCTTGTACTCTTTTACTATATGAAAATATCATTATTAAATCATTTTATTTAGACGACTTTGCACCAATTTTTAAATCACCTTGAATAATAGCACGGGATATTCGTAACAAACTTGAAACAGCAATAGGCATGCTTTTTGACAATTATTAAAAATGTTAGTTGGATTTATTATTTATAGTAGTATTATTGGTGGGTTATAAGAACTATAATACAAAATATTTATAATCTATTACAAATGTAATAAAAAAATTTGTATAATAAAATGTGATTATATTACAAATATAATAAAATTTTTTTGTTTTAACTATTATATGAAATGTAAAATAGTTGCAATATAAATTTTAAATAATTTAAATTAAAAAGCTATTAAAATATTAAAAACTTGTTAAAAAATAGGTAAATTTTATTAATTTTAGTAAAAATTATAGAATTAAAAAGTTCATTATCATTACATTTAAGTGGCTTAATATTATCATAAATTTAGGTAAAATTTTGATTATTTTTACCAAGTTTAATTTTGTCAAATTTAGTAAAGTAGTATCAACGTCGTACGTACGTACTAGTACTGTACACTTATTGATAAGTCTTCATCGCTGCTGAAAATTTTCATCAATGTTTATAAGAAATGACCAAGAAATTGAAGAAATCCAAAATCATTTTAATGAAATAAATGATAGGATTTCTCAACAAGAAAATGCGATTATAATTATCGGTAACACAGGTGAAGGAAAAAGTACATTATTGGGCTATTTAACAGGAATTCCTCTGTTTAGTAATGAAGATGAATTTGGTGACTATATTATTTCTGCTGATAATTCAAGTGGTATAAATATCAACGATAGACCTATTTCACAGACCTCTTTACCAATTTGTCGAGAAATATACTGGGATTGCCCTGGTTTTGAAGATACAAGGGGTCCTGTGCAGAATATCGTGAACGCTTATTCAATTTATAAGTTAATCAAAAGTGTAAAGAAACTTAAAATTTTACTCATTATTTCTGAATCTACAATTAAAAGTACAAGAAAAAAAGAGTTCTTAAATCTTATTAATAACTTGGGTGAGACTTTTAAAAATATTGATGAATTAGTTAAGGGATTATGTTTAGTTATAACAAAAAGCGATAAACACAAGCTTAATAAGTTTTTCGGTACATCTTTTTGATTTATCGAGAGCTTCATCTTCTGAAGATAAATTTAATTTTACCTTTTCTCTTGATATAAGTGCCGAATCGTTTTTATTTTTTACATAATCCTCTCCACAATCGGTTCCATTTAATCCATCAGCACCGTTACCACCGTCTTGACCTTGACCACCATCGCCACCACTAACATTGATAGTTAAAGAAGAAATATTAAGAAAGGTAACCCCTTTACCATAAAAATTTCCTCCGTTAGAACCAGGCAGTCCAGGCAGGCCATCTTCACCATTAATTTTTTGTCCTTCAATGGGAGATATTTCGTTATCTGCTTGACTATCAATTTTTTCATCGTTAATCTTCTTTTCGTTATTAATTTGTTCATCATTAATTTGATCAATATTAATTTTTTCGTTGATATAAGATATTCCATCATTTATTCCATCATTTGCTTTACTTGATGCGTGTGGGGGACCAGGATTACCTTTTAAATTAATTATCCTTTTACCTATAACACGCCACTGAGGGGACACCATCGTCAAATTAATTCCTGGTGCAATTATATCCTTATCAATAAACAAGCTATTTAAGCTAAATACATTTATTTCGAATAGTTTTAGATTATTCATAGCAATATTAAGATCTTCAGTACCAATGATTATGCCTTCGAGTGTTAATAAATGTCCTTGATTATGAACTTTAGGAGAAGATGTAAGTAACTCTAGCTCCTTAATTATCTTAGATATATGACCATACCAACTACTAGTATTTCCTTTAATGTCAACAGATCCCGGTTTAACAAGTTTAAAGAAATTTAATAAAGAAATTTTTTTCAAAAGTTCTTCTTTAAGATCATTTCTTTGCATTAGCTCAACGATTAAAAGAATTTGTTGAAGATTTTCTTCAAATTTTTCTGGATTATCATATATATTTTTAATTTTGTTATAAAAGTCACTTAAATAATTTCTTATTTCGTCAACCTTTCGTAGATGAGTATCTATTAACTTTTCAAAGTGGTTTTGAGTCGTTGGATAAAACTTTTGTGCAATAAAATTTTTAACGTCGCATAAAATCTATTGACTAAGTCATCGATATAAAGGCTTGATTTATCATCCAATAAAATACTAGGCTCTATGTTCTCCAAATAAGAAATCGAAT